AAAAAAAAAAAAAAAAAAGATAAATGTGCAAAAATCAAAGCTGCAGTTTAAATGCTAAAAACTAGTTCAAAATAGAAGTAGAAAACTAGCTCTGTGCACAAAACTTCAAAAATAATAAAATGCCTAGGAATAAATTTTAATAAAGATAATAAAGGGTGATATGAAGAAAAGTACAAAATTTTATTGCTAGACTAAAATTAGATCTGAATCAAAAAGGAATATATCTTTCTGAATAGCAAGACAAAAGCAATAACATCCCAATCTTTTTCAAATTAATGGAAATATTTGATATAATATTAACAGAATCCTAGTGTTTTTGAACTAGATATAACAATTTTAATTATTACACCTTTTAAATTTATGAACAAGAATGTATTATTAGAATCACCAACAAAATTTAGAAAGGCAAGAGTACAATGTTCACCCCACCAGATATTAAATGTTATTACAAAGCAACTTAATCAAACTATAATACTACACCATGAATAGATAAATAAATCAGTAGAAAAGAACTGAAAGTTCAGAAGCAGATTTAAATAAATATAAAAATTTAAGATATGATAAAGATGCCTTTCAATTCTAGGGATGAAGAGTGATGTTTTTATTAAATGGTATTAGTATAACAGAATACTCATTGAGCAGAAAGTAAAGTTAGATACCCACCATTGTATAGCTTAAAGGTTTCATTTGCATAAAAGGTATTATCAAGATTACAGGAATTAAAAACACTAAAACATGACATAGAGAAAGTATTTGTAGTAGTCTTGAGACAACAAGTAAAATATAGAAAAATTAAAGAAAAGCTAACCAATTTGATTTTCCAAAAATGAAAATCTTCTAGGATTAAAAAAAAAGAACAGCCAAGAAAATGACATTTCCAGCAAAAATAATAAAAGCTCAGTGTTAATATTCTTACTACCCAAGAACCTTGTAGGTTTAGTTATACAATGACAAATAATCCTATAAGATGGTTAGAGAATGTGAATATGTAATTCATAGAAGAGAAAATACAAATAGCCAATATATCTATGAAAGAAGAATTGAAAACTGAAATAGCCACACAGATTTCTTTTTGCCCAGAAAACTAAGAAAAAATTAAAAGTTTGATAACATCTGTAGCTGAGAAGATTTCTCAGATACTGTGGGCCAAACTATCGTCCATTTTATTAAAACGTATTTTATATATATATCATTAGATCTAGTGACTCTTCTAAAACTATCATGCTGAGATAAGAAAAGAATTTGGACATCTTTGAGTGTAAAGAAAGTAAGAATATATAATTTATAAACATATATAGTTTAGAATATATAGTTTATAAACTATAGTTTATAGTTTATATGGAATTTTTGAAAGAACATGTCAAATCTGTAAGTACTGGCCTTCAAAGGTCACTATGATTTACTGGTAAGTGAAAGAACAAGGTAAAGAACAGCCTGATATTAAACATTATTTTAATAAAATAGCTGTGAGAATTTAGACTACATATACACATACTTATAAAGTAATTTTTTGGGGGGTACTGGAGATCAAACTTGGGCCCTTGAACTTGCAAAGCAGGTGCTGGAACCACTGAGCTAAATCCCTGGCCCCTTATAAAGTAATTTTTTTAAAAAACAAGAACGTTGTATGGAAAACTGTTAAGAGCATTTTCTTAGAGGATATAGTACAGAAATGGCAACTATGAAAGTTTCAATTCCTGATGTATTTCACTGTTTTTCCAAAAATAGAATTTTAAAATGTAGCATGGAAAATATATGAAAGACTATTGATTCTACTCCTGCTTCCAGATATTTTGATATCAAGGAGGGTGGGTTTATAAAATTTGCTAATGAACAATTAAATGAATGCCACACAAGAATTTGTTAAGCCTCAATGAAATTTGAACTGTGATGAACATAAACAACACATAACAATTAGAAAAGATTTAATATTTTGGCCAAATTTTCTTAATATGTCATGGTGAGAGAACATACCTTAGACAAAGGCTTTCCCTGATGGCAGTTGATTCCACCAACGAAGACCATGTTGGGCATCACAGGTCTGGGATAGTCAAAGACAAAGTCCATGCGGAACAACCAAATGGATGTGTGACTGAAGAGATCATATGTGGTGATGGATGTTGGGAGAATTTCAGAGGCAATTTCTAAAGCTTTTTTGAAGAAATGTGGACAAAATAAATGCTCTGACAAGTGGAAAATTTGGTTGTATACTCTCTCCTTGAAAGTCATGTCATCTGAGAAGCCTGAGAGAAGAATGGGAACATATGAAAGAGGAGCAGGACTCTGAGCCCCTTCTTGAAGAAATTGGCAAAATACTCCCCTGGTGAAGACCACAGATGGGAGCGAAAAATATTTAGCAACAATTAAGCCACAGATATTGAAAGGATCCAGAAACACAGCATCAAAAGAACTCTCCTTTAAATATTCTACCAACTTCTTGTCATTAAACAAACTCCTACACTGTAGAAAACACAGTTCAAAGAAACTGTTGGATGAACCCAGTAATAAATACAATATAGTTTGGCCCTGATTTTTCCATTGGGCATCAACAAAAGTCTTGAACTCCTGGTTCCAATCCTCCAGAGTGTAAGAAGTTGAGTAAGTCTTCACTGTGAAATTCCGTGACTGCCCCAGTTGCCAGCTCACCTCCGGCATGACCACTACCACCTCATGCCCTCTCTGGACGAGTTTCTCCACCACCGAGCGCATGGTGAACCAGTGGCTCCCGTCCATGGGCACCATCAGCAGCCTGCCTGCCTGGGCAAAGCCTCCTGCCAGCAGCAGACACACAAAAGCTAGTGGGGGAACAAGTGTAGGAGCCATGGAGTAACTGCTACCCAGAGCTATCCAGATGCTTAGACTCTATGCTCATTTGATGCCATCAGCTCAAGGAATAAACACAGAAAATCTGTGCCACCAGAGGGTGTGTACTCATATTCATTTAAATACATCACACCCACTGCCAATTATCTATTCATGACAAAACATGTGAGTAGTGTCCCTTAAGATACCTACTCGTAGGATTTCCAGACAGGAGCATCTCATGTTTCGGGTTTGGGGGAGAGTCAAACCTTTTAATGCCATGTCAGTTTAGAAACAGAGTTTACTAGCAGTGTATTTGGATGCTCAGCCCTCAGAGAGATACTAGTAAGGCTGATCTGACTAGATCCTGTATTTCTGAAATTTGTCCCAAAGCAAAATGTGGATTTTATCTTTACATTACCAATGGCTCTTTCCTGCGAATGGAATTGGCATCTCAGGTTGGAACACTGCAAAGTCCTTACCCTCGACCCTCTTCCTGGCAGTGGAATTATGGTTCGTAAGTGACCCCAACATGACTATGTAGCACTGCTTCTCTTGTTTTATTTCCAGCAAGATATCTGTTCCATTTCCAAATATTCTAAAACTTCTCCCATGCAAAAAAAAAAAAAAACAAAAAAACCAAGACTGACAGCCCACCTATAGGACTATTCCAGGGATTAGAAGAAATGTAATTGTTATCTATTTTAAATCACTTTCTCCTTGAGACAGCCAATACAGATGGTAGTCACCTGCCTAGAACCGGCCAGAGCATTGTACTAGATGTCTCTCTCTTTCCTCTATGCTCCCACATTCTAAACACAGAGTGAGCTCACCCTGTCAGCCTGCAGGCATCATTCAGGAACTTCTGCGTCTCCCACACAGCATTCTTTGAGATCAGAGGAAATGACTTCATGCTTCACCCTCCTTCCGCAACATCCATACTATGCCTTGCACAGAGAAAGTACACAAGGCATGCTTGTTCATAGGACTGAATGACTTTAGGCAGGTGTCTAGTGCCTTCAAGACTGAGCCCAGTGGAATGCAACTATGTCAGGTCACACACCCTCAGGATCCGGTGAAGGGTCAATGCAGCAGCATGACCCTTGCACCAGACGGCTCTTTTGAGGACACTAAATATTACTGGACATCTGCTTAGTCACCAATTTCCTTGTTGCCTGCGGCACTCTCAGATGATTATGTTGGAAGATTGAAAATGGTTAGAGTGATGTCTATAAGGCTGGTGTATAGCAAGTCTCAGACTTCCTTCTTTCCATATAAAGTTCAACTTGTTTCTGCCATCAGACTGTAATTGGTATAAATTCAAGGATGAGTAAGGTGTTACCCCCAGAACAAAGGGAGAAATGATACAGAGAACTTTTGTAAATAATCCAAAAATCTACAAAATGTTAGGAAAATGTAAAATGACTTCTGCTGTCTCTAACAGCAATCTGCTACGTTTAGTTCAAAATTAACAGACAATAGCCGGGCATGGTGGTTCATGCCTGTAATCCCAGCACTTGGGAGGCTGAGGCAGAAGGATCACTGTGAGTTTGAGACCAGCCTGAGCTACATAATGAGTTCCAGGTTAGCCTCAACTACATAGTGAGACCCTGTCTCAAAAAACCACCCCCCACACACACACAATTAACAGACACTGGAGGCATTGACCATGAAATGGGACATCTGGCCTCACACTTAACCTTGAACAACCTGTTCCTGTGCACTAGAATAGATAGCTAGACTAATCTTAAGGTAAACTCCCTAACTACAAGGAATTGTTACATCTGGGTTAAAGTTAACTGTCTTGTTACTGCAATTTGTACGGGGTTAATGTGAACTGAGGAAATGAAATGTAACCACCTGAATGAGGTCATAGCTGTAAAACCTGTAAAAGAAGCTGCAACTCAATAGGTAGTTAATCACTGGCACTGCTTTTAGTGTGATTGACCTTTTATTGACAAAATAAACTTTTTATTATTTTACTTCCATTCAGCTCTTCTCTATGTGTGTGTCTCTTGCCAATTCCTTCTATAACAAAATCTGTTTGGAAAACCCCAACAATTGGAAAAAAACTGAGACTCCTGCTTGGTCCACAGAACTGAATAAAATCCAAAATGAAAAATAAAAAATGTTCTCACCCCACCTGGGCCACCACCCCCCTGCATCCCCAAATCAACAGAATACCAGATTCTTCAAGTCCATGGTTCTACATATGAAAAAGAGAACTGTATGCACTTATCCTGCTATCTTAGCAAGGCAAAAAATTTCCAAAGATGCCTACTTCAGTCTCTTCTCAAGATAACATAGTGGAAATGGAATATTTTCTACCTGGTGGCAGGTAGAAACCAAAAAGAGGACACAGATCAGAGTCATTTATATGTGAACCTTGGTGGGAACTCAGCATTGCCACTAGCTGTGGCACCTGATTAGAAAGATCTACCAACCTCAGAGAAAACCCATACAGTTGACCTGGTTGCCTACATAAGCAAGAAGGAAAGTTCACCCTAGCTTGTGGCCCTGGACTGTACATCTCCCAGCCCAACCTCAGTGCCCATCCCAATGTGCCCACCCAGCAAGGAAACAACCTCCTCAACCAAACTTAGAAAAATGTAGGGGCTAGTGCTGCTTCATCCAGAAAGTCAGTTTTCTTTCAGCCAAAAAAGCCCACCCAACCACCTGAACAGGCAAGAAGACTCTAGGTTAGCTACACCTCATATAAGCAAAGAATTTCAATTTGTTTTCTTCTGTAAAATCAAGCAGCTGCACTCTGAAGGGGAAAAAATGCCCACTGATCCCACCCAGGCAAAAAGATTCCAACTGCTGTGGATCTCAGTCAGTGGAAGGTGTAGATTCAGCTTGACCTGGGGAATCAAGTAGCAGCTATATTCATCAAAAACTTCCTAGCAACTCCTTCATATTTTCCATAGAGGCAAAAGGGAAATCCTGCTTGATCAGAAAGTCAAGCAATGGCTCAACTCAGTTTAAAAGATTGCACAATGACCTCACCCACACAGCTAAATTCCCATCTCTGTAAGTTGAAAAACAAAGCTAGACCTGCTCCACATGGGAATTCAAAGAGCCATTTGGTTCAACTAAAAAGATGAAAAATACAGCTCTACTCTGAAGGAGTAAGAAATAAAGCCTCTTGGTTGTCACTCTTAGAAAGACACTACCTAATGGCTACAGTCCAGCCTGCAGCAGATCCAAAATATAGGAATTGGCTGACCAAAGGAAACAATTCATGACTGGCCTGACCAGGTGCCATTATAGAATCCAGCCCTCAGCTCTGCAGAGTCCTCACTGGACAGTGGACCTAGGCAGCAAGCCCATCTCAGCACAGAGAAAAAGCAGATGTTCATACAACTGGAGAACTTAGTCAACATTGCTCTGGCTGCCTGAGGCTGCTTCTAGCTGGTTCTTTCCAGCTACACTAGGTAGGAAAGGTCTGACCCTGTCTAAGATCACCTGGAGAATTTTAAGCAAGGTACAAGTCTGGCTGGGACAAGTGCACTGCTCATAGGTCTCCTAGCACACTAGTAGAGGCCTAGCTCATACTTTGAACCTTGTCTATGTCGAGCTATGGCCTTACCCATCCCCCTAGTTGGATGCCTCCATTGCCCATCCAAGGACGCTCTAAAAACCAGTCCTGTTAAGACAAATATATTACCCCTCCTTTGCCACTCCCTCTTTCAAAACTTTATAAATTGCTGACTGAACTTATTAAAAGTAGAAGCGTTTCAGAAACCTTCACAGAGTCTGCTTGGTGATTCCATACCTTACCCTTCCAGTCCGAGTTCTTGAACCTTTGTTCCATGAGTCAGCTCGTGGACAAAAACAACATTGAATAGGTAGGGGATTTAGCTCAGTGGTGCTCCTACCTGCCTCACAAGTGTAAGCAAATTCGATTACAGCTCAAAAAAAAATCACCTGGAAAAACCAGTGGAGAGAGCTGTCTCCTCAAATGTGAAGATGACAATGCAAAAGCATGGGAATTTAGGATGAATTAGGGAATCACAGCACTTTCAACATGAACAGATAAAGCTCTAACAGTGTATTCCAAAGAAGTAGATTCTATGAGATGATTCACAATTCAAAATAATACTCATTAAAAAGTTCAGTGAACCTGTAATAAAAACAGCATGGTACTGACAAAGAAAAAGACCTGAGGATCAGTGGAATAGACTGAAAATTACAGAAACAGCTCCAGATGTACTCAGCTACCTCATCTTTGACAAAGGAGCCAAACATCCTCAGTGTAGGAAAGATAGATTCTTTACCAAATTGTGTTGGAAAACCTGGATTTCAACCTGCCAAAGATTAAAACTAGACCCTTATCTTTCACCATGCACTAAACTAAAATCCAAGTGGATTAAAGATCTAAATATTAAAACAGAAGCTCTAAACTTGCTGGAAGATAAGTTAGGCAGAACTCTCAAAGACATTGGCATAGGAAAAAACTTTATGAACAAATTCTCAGTAGCACGAGAACTAGCACAAAGAATCAACAACTAGAATCTCATCATATTAAAAGCTTCTGCACTGGAAAAAAAACCCAACAGAACTAAAATACAACCTACAATAAGGGAAAAAATTTTTATCAGCTGCTCCCCAAAGGACTATTACCTAGAATATATAAAGAACTCAAAAAAATCAGACCCCCCCCAAATACAAAGACCCAATTCAAATCAGACCCGATTCAAAAATGGGCATCTGTAATGAACAGACATTCTCAGACAAAGAAGTAAAAGTAGCAAATAAATATATGAAAATATGTTCAATATCACTGGTCATTCGAGAGATGCAGATGAAAACAACACTGAGATTCCACCTCACCCCAGAAAGAATGGCTGCTATCAAGAAATCAACCAATGACAAATGTTGGCAGGGTTGTGGGTAGAAAGGAACCCTTCTCCATTGTTGGTGAGACTGCAGACTGGTGCAGCCACTGTGGAAATCATTGTGTAGATACTTCAAACAACTAGGATTAGAGGTCCAATTTGACCCAGCTATCCCTCTGCTGG